ATGTTAAAGTTTTTGTAATAGTTCAAATATTTTCAAAGTCCATCGACATATGGCTTTGAAACTTTGCACACTTGTTCACCATCATGACCCCAACCTGTAGACAGGAGGAGGTAACTCTATCAAGCATTTTGACAGAATTATGCCCCTTTTTCGACTTAGAATTTACGTTAAAGTTTTTGTAATAGTTCAAATATTTTCAAAGTCCATTGACATATGGCTTTGAAACTTTGCACACTTGTTCAACATCATGACCCCAACCTGTAAACAGGAGGAGGTAACTCTATCAAGCATTTTGACAGAATTATGCCCCTTTTTCGACTAAGAATTTAGGTTAAAGTTTTTGTAATAGTTCAAATATTTTCAAAGTCCATTGACATATGTTTTTGAAACTTTGCACACTTGTTCACCATCATGACCCCAACCTGTCAACAGGAGGAGGTAACTCTATCAAGCATTTTGACAGAATTATGCCCCTTTTTCGACTTAGAATTTACGTTAAAGTTTTTGTAATAGTTCAAATATTTTCAAAGTCCATTGACATATGGCTTTGAAACTTTGCACACTTGTTCAACATCATGACCCCAACCTGTAAACAGGAGGAGGTAACTGTATCAAGCATTTTGACAGAATTATGCCCCTTTTTCGACTTAGAATTTACGTTAAAGTTTTTGTAATAGTTCAAATATTTTCAAAGTCCATTGACATATGGCTTGAAACTTTGCACACTTGTTCACCATCATGACCCCAACCTGTAAACAGGAGGAGGTAACTGTATCAAGCATTTTTTTTACTATCAAGCACTAAGAATAGTCGAGCGTTGCTGTCCTACCGACAGCTCTTGTTGAATAAAGTCATCCTTACCGCCACATCTAGCGTTTACATCGCCAATCATTTCTCACACCTCTTTCTAATAGATCTAATTAAAAAAAGCCTTCTTCGTGCATAGTACAATATAAAGAATTACTGGACGGGATATATAAAACAACAAGAGGGACAAGATGGGTCTCTCACAAGAAACAACTGTTTTCAGTGATAGAAATATTTTTTCAAATAAACTTGTAGAAAGACAAGTCTATCTCAACTTCAACTCTAGATATAAATTTTCCGACACTGATATCTGTGTGTTTTTCTTCATAGTAAAAATGATAGGGACCTTTCACAAATATCCCAAGTTCATTGTTACTGTTCATCTGGTATGCAAAGCATAACGACTCATGCTACTTGATTTTTTTTCATTTTCAGTTAAAGCGGCCCCGTGAATCGGGCAAATCAAATTAATTTGAGCAAACTTAATAAAAAAAAAAACTTTAAGAATGCTACAAAGATTTTGTGATCATTCATCCTTCAATTTCTGGTAAAATTTGCCTATGACAGTCTTTCGGAATGGCGATCTTAAATGTTAAATAATTACATAATTACTCATGCAGTATTTAGATTTACATGTATACTGTTTGTCAGCATGACACAACTGGTCAATACTTATTTAAGATAACATAGTTATACTAGTCAGCTCGACCAGAAAGTTAACGTTTCTGGTTGAATTATCTTACTCTCTAATAGAAATAGGAAAAATTGTAACTTTGACAACACAGAGGAAAAAAGAGGCTGTTTTGATGAAATATATTCAGTGAACAAGATAACTCTTTGAATAAAACAACGTTACATAATGGGTGGAAAAGAGATATTATGAAACTATGCAAAATTACTTTTAAAACCTTAATGTAAAATGTTAAGTGTTTCTCTATTGAAAAATCATTTGAATATTTGAATACAATGAAGAAAAACTGAGATCAGGGAAAGTGGTTATTCAGCTGAAGAATACAAGTTTGCTAATGGGAGGCTCACAGGTCCATCGATCAGGCTGTTCAACTGTATATTCTCATATAATACAACAGACAGTGTTGTAATCTCAGTCAAAACAATCACCTATCTGTTATATAAACAGTGACAAAGTCCCTGTTACCAAGAATCTGATCTCATTAATATAAGCTTCTAATCTATGCTATAGATAAAGAATGCCAAAAGATATGAAAAAAAAAATAATTAAATTTTATTAATTAACAAACTGCCAAAAATATAAAAACTATTTTCCTAAAACTTCCTAAATGTTTCTTTCTTTTAAATTTTCTGTTCTAAGTGTGTTAACAAGAAAAGCGTTGATGCAAAGCATCAAAGGGCGTCCAAGCAAGAAATGCAGCAAGTGAAGATGAACTAGTAGACATCTGATGACCAGATATTCTTATAAACTTTTCATTGATTAATTGGTTTTAACCAGAATTGTATATCATTTATGAATGGGCAGACAAAATACATCGATTTTTAAGTTTTTACTATATACATAAAGGGAAAAACAATGACCCCCTGGGGCGGGGCCATTTTGACCCAAGGGCTTTTATTTGAACAAACTTGGTAGACACCCACTTGAAGATGTTTCATGCTTAATATCTAAGCTCTAGCTATCTGGGCTTTTTAAAAGATGATTTTTTTAGTTTTTACTATATACAAATAAGGAAAATCAATGACCCCTATGACATAATATTCACATAATGCAGCATAGTCATTAAAACAGATTCCTAACTTTACCACAAATTAATTCAGCAGAAGCAGATGATGCTACAGACAAAGTTTGGTGATCATCTATCAATTAATTCAGTAAAAAAGACATTATGTTTTACTACTTTCAGCCCTTAAATCCAATATAAAAGGGGTCAATTGAATTAATTTGAACAAATTTGATAACAGACCATTCTAAGAATGCTATAGACAAATTTTGGTGATCATTCCCCAATAAGTTCAATGAAAGGAGATATTTAAAGGTTTTTTTCATTATTTTTAGCTTTAGCGGCCCCTAAAGGGGGGCAATCAAATCCATATGAGCAAATTTGATAAAAGACTACCGAAGAATGCTACATATAAAGTTTGTTGATCATCCATCAATTAGTTCAGTAGGAGTGCATGTTAAAATGTTTTTCTATTTTAGCTCTAGAGGCCCCTATAAGGGGCTAATCAAATTAAATTGAATAAATTTGATAACAAGTTATCTAAGAATTCTACAAACAAAGTTAAGTGATCATCCATCGATTAGTTCAGTACAAATATTGTTTTAAGGTTTTTTTAATAATTAGCTTTTTCTTGTTTTTATATTCAAATTAAATTGAACAAATTTGATAAAAGATTGTCTACGAATGTTACAGGCAAAGTTTGGTGATCATCCATCATTTAATTTAGTAGTAGATGTTTAAAGGTTTTTCTATTTTAAGCTCTGTTGACCCCTAAAATGAGCCAATTGAAATGACATGAGCAAATTTAAGTGTGACTGTCACAATGATGCTACAGACCAAATTTGAAGTAAATCTGCCCAGCAGTTTCAGAGAAGAATTTGAATGTTGACGCATGACGACGGACGCCGGGGCATTCCCTTTTGACCCTGAACCTTCGGTCCAGGTAAACATCACTATCTAAATTAAAAAAAAAAGATTTACACAGTTTAATAACTGTCTATTTTATACTGTTATACTAAACATACGCCACCGTGACCTCTTTTTGAATTTAAACTGACTAAAATACATTTTCGTAAACATAATTGGTTTTTTTGCCATGTTTCACAATAGTTTGAAAACTGTTTACATGATACGCAAAATATTCAACATTGGGGAAGTTAGGTTTTGTTTTTTTTACTAAATATAAAACACATTTTTGAGGGCCTGACGTGGGGTAATTAAACTGTGATAATTTTGCTTAAAATTGTACAATGTTTCCGGACGCTCTGTAAACACTTCATAACACTTCCAATTTATAAAATAATTGACCTGTTACTGTCAATCATTAATAAGTTAGACATTATTCTTCATTATATTTTATTCGGGTTCATGTTTTCTCGCCTATATACATGTATATAGAAAACATGTATAAAACCTAAGCCGTGCGGTTACATAAGTGTGCGGTAATACCAAAAAGATTAGTTCCTGCTACTTCACAAGTAAAGGGTAATTCAAAGATAGTATTATTGAGGCGTATATCATATTATTTGACAGAAGAAGACAAAACGTCGAAAGCTAAAGGAAAGCAAATCTTGTTGCGTTAAGATTAATATCAATGGTCGTGATGACTTATTCAAATGAAAAATATCTACCAATAGTTGAATAACTGTGACTCTTTATTTTTCAGGAAATTTTCAACTAGAATTGATTCAAGAAAGTTGAACCAACCATCCATGGTCTCTTGGCTAGACATCCGTGTTCTTAATTTATTAAGATTTTCAGGCGTTCTTTCAGTATGCATAGGATGACGCTTCAAGAGTGTCCTGAACCATTAAGTTCAGCATTGGCTGTTTACCGTCCTAAACATTAAATTCAAATATAAAACTGATATTTTTTTCAATTTATATAACCCTAAAATACTCTTTAAATTCTTTATGGAAATGTAAGAAAGAGAGAGATAATGTTAAATGACTAGTTTCTTTCTACATGTATAAAGTAACTTAATCGTATCGGGGTACTAATTTAGGCTACCTTTACGTTCGAGAATTTCTCGGACGTAGCACCTTATCATCGTCCTTAAAATTGTCATAGGAAACCCTTGATAAGCCATGTACTGTATAAAAGACACCAATGCTTGTAAGAAGGCGAGGCATTTTTTCATGTTTACATAGAAATTACGTTACTTGTAAGTCGACATTTAGATATTTCAATAAAAAAAGTCATTATACTAGTATTTCTATTTGTAAATAAAGAAAAGCAACCCTTCTATTAAATATTAGGGAAAAAAGTGTGAATTATTTAAAAGATGTAGGGTATGATTAAGCAAGTTTTTATAGCTTATATATCATTTTGCAAAAGTTCGTCTGCTTCCTATGTTCTTAAAGTTGACCCCTTAAAACTTGCCCGGGCCTCAGTAAATATGTGCGCATGCGCATTGCATCAAAACAAAATTGAGACTGTCAAAGTGTGGACATTTTACGTACTTGGTATTTGGTAAAGGTAAGATATTTTCATTTATTCATCTCACTGATAATCATATTAATCAAAGTAATTAGATAAACTCGTAATAATTAATATATATATATATATAATTTACAACATTTACGACAGTAAATAAATATAAAATAATGTATAAAGTGGTCAGAAGAAAAAAAAATAATCAAGGCTGGGAATCAAAACTGCGTCGTATTCTACAAAATGTAAACAACCGCTGCCATCTTGGAACGAAATAGGTATATTTTTGTTTATTATACTTTTGTTGGAAATGACTGAAAACTAAATATATGTATTAACACGCTCCACTATTTTCCGCTTCGTTCGATATATGTTGCTTGCTCAACTGTTTTGTCAAATAAAAGTTATAGCGAACTTGCAAGTTTTGTGGATATGACGCAGTTTATAATGCAATGTTGCATTATCCATCGTTCCATCGTGTTTTTTTTATTCAAATAATTGTAAAATCGTTTCAGAGTTAACAATAAACTTTAAAATATAATTTTACATCATTTACTAAAAGCTTTTAAAATATGCCAGTAACATCACCCATGGGTTCTAGGAAAAACGGAAAAAGTAATAAAGTCCGGAAAAAAGTGTATCAAATGCAAAATACATTGAAACACGTGATCGTACACCCATATGACAACGTGTTCCAGTGTTGCCTTAGCTTGTAAACTTGTTCTCGTGAGTTCGAAATTAATGGGGTCGGTAACTTTTTTCAGTTTTGTGACACACATTTTCAATATTCCATGGTTACCTGGATGCTGTATCAATCCGGATTGACTTTTGTTTAAAAAAAGGAAGAATTACAAATTTCGAAATAAAGTCTCTCGTTATCGGAAGAGAGGAATGTGCAACTTGCAGCCTACCTTTGGTACCATGAACAACAATGTCCGACAATCCGTTATGTCTTTAACGCGCCGATTTTTTTGCATATATTTTATTATTTAATATATTATTATTTAAAACTTAAATCAGTATTTGAAATGAAGTATACTTCCTCTCTTAAATGAGCATTACATTTTAAAAACCATATTATAAATGGTTAAACTATACTATTTTGTTGCAAGTAAGGTATGCATTTTATTCAGTCATTTCAGCGCCGTGGAACTTTATTGCTCATTTTGTCGTATTGCATTTCTTTATCGTCGATGAGAACAGACGGAAAAAAATCTGAAAATTAATTTGATATGTACAATACAGTATCATTCTTCTCCAAAATAAACTTTAAATGTTCAAAATCGTGTACTACAAATTATTTTGTAAAGTAGGTGTCCGGTTTGCAATTAAAGTCGGGGTAAGACTAATTTAAGTCAGAATATCGCGTTGAGTTTGTCATGGCTTCTTCACGGTGCATATCCATATCGGTACCCTCTTTGCGAAATCTGCTCAAACGGTACCCTCTTTGAACATGCACAGGTCATTCTCTGCTAAAAACAAACCAGCGATGGATAACAATCCAGTAAAATTTTATTGCAATAAGGAAAGGATGTATGACACGTAGAAAACATGTATACCACGGAACATTTGTCATGTGCCCGTTTTTCATGTACTGCAACTTCACAATAAGCTACAAAAATCGACATGTCTTGCCTCGCCCATCACCTCGACATATTTTTTGGGCTGCAATGAACCTGTGGCTTGATTATATATGCATCATACATATTTAATATGTTCATTTACATATCATCTTCGGACAAATGACAGTATATTGTCAAAAATAAATGTAAAATTCATAAAACACCCTACTTTCGGTTTTGCAGCGGCACGGGCTACCTCTCTTCATTTGCATTTCAATTCTCATTTTTTAACACAGAGGTACCCTCAAGGCACAACATATGCTTTAATTTGCGTTTATCGTTAAGTATGTAATATTTCTTACTTTTATGTGGCCGAGTGGTTAAAGTCGCTGACTTGAGATCACAGGTCCCTCACCGCTGTAGGTTCGATCCTCACTCGGGTCGAAATCTTTCATGTGAGGAAGCCATCCAGCTGGCTAACGGAAGGTCGGAGGTTCTACCCAGGTGCCCGCTCGTGCCTGAAATAATGCCCGGAGGGGGCACCTGGGGTCAACCTCTACCAGTAAAGCTGGGGAAAAATCGACAAAAAATCTCGGCGGGACGCTCTAGGATGGCCCGACTTGAGTGTACGGTCGTCCATATGGGCTTTCCGGCGGCGACCTTAAATAAACGCATAAAAAAATTACTACTTTGATCACAACATATAGGATCTTTAAAGCGGCTTGAATCCAGATTCATGCTTATTTTCATCAAAATTTTGAAAATGTACTTAAATGTGTAATTTTGTGAAGTAACCTTTATCTTAAAACCTTTTACTTTTCCTAACATCTTAGCTCATTTTTGTCAAGATTTATTTTATTGATATATTTTGATTCATCTGGAGGCATGTAGCTTTAACTGCACATATTTTACCGGTTTATAACGCAAACATTTTAAACTGTACCGTATACTTGATGAATGAACACATAATTAAATCTGTGATTATTTTATAATAGTTGCTCTTGTTCCAATAAGAAATTAAAGAACCTGCATGTTGTTTACATGAAATGTAAATTCGGTAGTGTCTTTACAAATATTGCTTTTTGGAACTTACATTATTGATAAATCTTCATTCGAGCATTATATTTATGGTTACATGATTAACATGAAAAGTTAAATTCGGTAATATATTCATTAACTAAAAAAATAAATACTGTTTTTTGGAAATATTGATATATTTGAGCTGCGCCATGACAAAATCAACATAGTGTGTTTGCGACCAGCATGGATACAGACCAGCCTGCGCATTCGTGCAGTCTGATCAGGATCCATGCTGTTCGCTTACCAACTCTACTACAAGTAGAGAAACTGATAGCGAACAGCATGGATCCTGATCAGACTGCACGGATGCGCAGGCTGGTCTGGATCCATGCTGGTCGCAAACGCACTATGTTGGTTTTGTCGTGACGCGGCTAATTTTAATTTGAGCATCATATTTATTATATAAAACCATAAAGAATGTGTTACAAGATCTTTAATTATCAAACCATTTTTTAATCAACGGGTTAAGTAAATTGCTAAACTCTTAATATATTTTGACGTTATACTTTAGATTCTGAGATCTTTTGGGTTTTTTTTATGCCCCAGGCATTAATTGAACAGTCTGGTATGTCAATCTGTCGGTCCGTTCCTAGCTAAACACGGAGATTTGGAATTTTCTAAAGTTCTTACTGTACCAATGGCTTCAAATTTTACACACTTATCAATACAAAGAACATGATCTGAGCAAGTTACATAATTATGGCGTCTGTTTTTTCTAAGTTATTGCCTTTTTCGGCACTTTGAAAATGGTTATGGAAAACATAAACCAGCAAGTTGGATATATCTTAAGTTCTGTTTATACTAATTGTTTCATAATTTCCACTCTAACTTATCAATATATTAAAGTACATGTTATTGCTTAATTATTTAACAGTGCCATCCATTTTCCCAGTTTTTTTCCCTTTTTATCACTTTGAAAATCGGACCTTGTTTCTCCTTAAAAACACATTCATTTAATGATACTTTCAATATTTGGTAGAGAACCTCAAACTTAGTGTGGGTTAAGGGGTCTAGGTCACGCGCATTGTTGTAAAAAATGAATTAAACATTTTTGCTCATACACCCTATTTTTTTAAATTGATGTGTTGAATACGGACATGACTTGGGAGGTTCTCTACCTTTGGGCCCAGTTAGGGGTTATTTGGGTCAAGGTTAAGGTCACCAATGTTGAAAATAGGTTTTTACAATTTTTTCCATTGACTGATGTCTTTAAAATTTTGGTAGGAACATAAAATTGAGAAATCTTCTTCTTTTGATGGCGAAAGAGGTCAGTTGGGTCAATGTCAACAGTACTAAAAAAAGATTTTTACATTTATTTGTCCATACAACCTTTATTTATTGATTGATGTCTTATATATTTGTCAGGAAGATAACTTGCAAGCTATTCTTCGTTTTGCTTGAGTTAGGGGTCAGTGGTTCAAGGGTGTTAAAATAAATTTCTACACATTTAAACAGCCTTTAATTTTGCCTGAGAACCTTTTTAGATTTGATAATAACATGCCTGGTTTTCTTCCTTTTTTATTAGGCCTAGCGAGGTTATGTATAAAAATTGTGAAGTTAAAATTGTAGTTGAAAAAAGTAATTGCTATACAGAGACATAGAAAATCAATGACTATAAATTGATTTGAACATTTTTGAAGAGGTTCATTACATGATGCCACACACAAAATATCTAAGCCTTAGGCCGTACACTTTCATAGAAGAAGATTTTTTAAAAGATTTTACAGTATGTACATTTAGAAAATCAATGATCCCTGGGGCAGCCAATTTTGACCCCAGGGCTATAATTTGAACGATATTTGTAGAGCTCTGCTGCACACTGTTTCATGCCAAATATCTAACCTCTAGCCTTTATCAATTTTGAAAGATTTTTTTTTTAATTTTTACTAAATACATTTAAGGAAAATCAATAACTCCCTGGGGCGAGGCCAGTTTTGACCCAAGGGCTATACTTTTAACAATTTTCATAGAGTTTTATTAGATGATGATAAACTCTAAATATTAAGGCTCTAGCCCTTGCACTTTCAGAGAGAAGATATTTTATTTTTTTACTAAATGTACATAATGAAAATCATTGTTTCTCGGGCTATAATGTGAATAATCTTAGTAGAGGTCCTCTTTACAATGTTTCATGCCGAAAATCAACCTCAAAACAGAAAAGATGACATTTCATACATTTAAGGAAAATCAATTACCCCCTTGGGCGATGCCAATTTTGACCAAAGGGCTATAGTTTATGTTCATGAAGTTGGCAGCCTAGCAGCCTAACAGCCTGAAGTTGGCAGCCTAGCAGCCTAGCAACCTGAAGTTTGCAGCCTGGCAGCCTAACAGCATAACAGCCTAAAGAAAACTAAGAATAGTACAAACATGAAATCGTCGGAAATACATTAGAAGCACTTCTTTAGATCATTCCACGCTTTTTTCAATATCGTGATCTTTATTTTTTAAGATGTTGAACTTTATCTTAACATAATTTTTTCATTCTGACGCTTCGAAATTTGTGTTAGTTAGCAGCCTAGCAGGATAGTACAAACATGAAAACCGTCGGAAATGAATCGGTAGCAAATACTTAGTCCATACAACGTCTTATTTCAGTATCGCGATCTTTATTTTTTTAAATATTGAACTGTTTTTTGTTTTTGTTTTTTTGACACTTCGAAATTTGTGAAGTTAGCAGCCTAACAGTCTAACAGCCTGGCAGCCTAACAGCCTAAAGAAAACTATGGATAATACAAACATGAAAACCGTCGGAAATGAATCGGTAGCACATACTTAGACCATTCCACGTTTTATTACAGTATCCGTTTGAATAAGTTCGAAAAAAGAAAAGATATCGACTTACTTATCTATATAGATACCATTGCACTTATCTAACTAGAATTATTTACATAAACCAGACCTTCAGAAGTTTTCCATAAAATAACATATGATAACAGCAACATAACATAACAACAGGTCAATTAACAGTTACTTATAAAGTATGGTGCAAATGAAAACGGTTTCAGTATTTATCGGTCAAACGGTAAAAGAATGCAGTGTTGAAATTCAGTGTTGTACGGTGCTCTAATATTCGAGTCAATAGGCCTTTTTACAACATATATTTCTTTAAATTTACAATAGAAACACACAATTTTGTGTGGAACTTGAATTTATGCCTAACCATAATGTATACACGAGCTCGTTAGGTCATAGAACAAATACATCGTCGTTTTAACACATGTTTTTGTGACAAATACGAGTTATGTTGAGGTAGACACGATCTTTTGTAAACACTATTTCTTCGAAGTATGTATTTTTTTGTGAATTGTGTTGTGCTAGATTAACGATAAATTGTTTCAAAAATTCGATGGAGTACTTAAACAATTGGAATAATATTGCAACGTCCAGCAGTAAGATATTTTGTAAGCTATTACCTGCAATTTGGCTATCCCGCCATTAATATTTTGTACAGAAATATACCAAAATATGTCCAATGAAAGTTCTGGTTGCTATGGCAACAAATAGACTGAAAAATATGGCAATTTTTACACATAAACTGGATCCAGTGTTAACGCAAAAAGTAATAGAAATATTTTTATGAAACTTGTAATATGTGTAGATGGCAGTCTGGAGATTATACACGTCTTTTTCTTTTCTTCCTATGTTGAAAATTCTGGTTGCTATGGCAACACATAGACTGAAAATATGGCAAATTTTACACATAAACTGAATCCAGTGATAACTCAAAAAGTACTGGAAATATTTTTATGAAATTTGACATTTGGGTAGATGGCAGTCTTGAGATTATGCATGTCTTATCTGTTCTTCCTATTTTGAAAAAATATTGGTTGCCTTGGCAACAAATAGGCTTAAAACATGGCAAATATAACAATATTTGTGATTAGTCAAAAAGAGCTGAAAATTTTTATGAAATTGCATCTTTAATTCCAGAGTTATCTCCTCTTTAAGAATTTTTGCTTTTTAAAATGTTATATTTTGGTAACAGGGATGTTTCAAATATTAACTTTAGAGTGTCCTTCAGTCCGTCTGTCTGTCTGTTCATAAAAACTTTTTCCTCTGATCACTTTTAAAGAACATTTCCAACAAATTTACTTAAAATAGAGAAAAATTTAAACATTTGTGAATGGCCAATGGCCCTTCAGAATGCTGATGGGGTTCTAACCGGTAGGGGACTTATGGATTGCTTGCAATACTATGATAATTGCTTGTTCAAACTGATAAACCCCACATGGAAAGATTGAAGTTCTTGGCAGACTATACCATCTAACAACATCGAGAAACAAAAGGAATAAAATATTTGTTAATGGGAATTTCTTATTGCATACTAATTTGATAAAGTTGCAAAAGTCATAACATAAATTTTCATGGTGTAGTTTTTGCAGGAACCCGGGTAATATTTCCATAATCTCTTCAGTCATGGTCTCCAATGTGCTTTTTTAAAACAATCTTTTGCGAAAGTTTGACTTCATATTCTTTTTCTTATCGGGTGCGTTAAGAATATCGTCCTGAAATACAGGGAGGCGATGATCCATTGGCGTACTGCTGATATCAGAAGACTTAGTTGGGCGCTCTCCAGTTGCTGCAGTATCTGCAGCTTTGCTAATTTCGCACGTTGCTTTGTGCTTTGGCTTGTTCAGACATAGGTTTGAACGTATTCTTTTTCTGAAACCAAACATTAATACATTGTATCAAAAATAAACAGTGCTAAAAAGAACAGAAAAATGCGGTGATTTTAAGGAGGAATAATGCGGTGCCCTAATCTTATGATTGACAAAATACACACGTGGAAACATAAAAATCATACCAAATATACAAAAAAACGGGTTATTTATGTATTGTAACTTGTTCATACGACAATAATGTACATATTTATATTGTATTTTGACCAGTTATGTGAACTGAACGGACTAGAAATACGTTATATTTCGTAATAAAAGCAAGATTTTTTTTCAGTATGCCCTAAATGGACTTAATTAATGAAGCATTTTGCATGTAGTAAAGATAAATAAGTTTCAAATTAAATGGCACATTCGATGAAAAAGAAAAAAATGATGATTTTACCTTGTTTTGAGCAAATTATCTGCTGTTTTCGTCTCGGTTACAGGCTTGTTGTCCATTTTGTACCATAGAAATATACGGTGTCTCGGACAGAAGTAAGATATTTTAACGTTGCGCGGAAAAGTTGTGGTAATCGCCCTATCACCGTGTATACGGTGTCACGGTCAGAAGTATGATATTTTGACGTCGCGCGGAAAAGTTTTGGTAGACGCCCTATCACCGTGGTATTGCGAAGTTGGGTATGTAATGCGATATAGTTTAAGCCGATCGATGATTTACGAAGATGATGGAGACTGTGGTTTCTTGCATAGCAAACTGGCGTTTTCGTGTGTTTTACCCATGCCGGGAATTTCATCTGGCATGGGGATTGCCAGATGAGTCGCGTGCTGTCAATCGCACGCTAAGCATGACATCATTTTCCAGTTATGAATGAAGTTGCAATTTCATACGCTGTTGTAAGAAAATAGGTACGGCTGTAATGATATCAATTTGCGTTGAAAACACACCGTATTACCGGCGGCAGTGATAGCAGATCACTGCAGTGATGGCAGATAGCTTAAATTTACCGCTCGGTACAGGTAGGTTATAAATTTGGTTGGTATTATTATATTACACAAATACGGCCCATTTCATTGCTATGAAACTTTTGTCCATTGACTGGAGATACTGTTAGTTAATTTTGGACTCGTTTTTCCTGTTTTAGACTATTTTGAGTAGGATAAAGTGACAGCTTCGGAAAAAGCCGTGAAAATCTCTTTTTTTATTTGTTCAAAATATCTCAAGTTTTAACTAAATGGCAGGATTTCGTGTTATTAATATAGACGTTCATCCATTGGGGTCACGCAAGCCAAATATCTATCCCGTGAGTCTTTTCTTAAAGTTTTACAGACGTTCCATCTGGTCCGGTTGAAGAAAAAAATGCTGCAGTTGTAGGCAGATACTTATTTTAAATTTTGCCGTCGATGGCAGAAATACCCTGAAAGTGGCTATCATTTGCGCCCTTTTAGTCGGAATTGAGACGTTAAACTATCATTTCTAATATTTTCTCAAGAAAGAAAAGAAATTAATGCTGTATGTGCATCGAAAAAGCTTTTTAGCAACACGCAGATACAGTGCAAAATGTGATGATTCAGTATGACCAAATTGCACTATAAATAGAGCAATTAAGATGTAGATATTCAGTTTTCTATATTCATGCATGTGTGCTTGATCTATTGTGTCTGTCAGTTACATGCTTACAATACCATATGTATCTTAAGTTTAGCAGCGCATAATTCACTGCCTTTTCAAGACATAGCATATTACAGCTATAACTTCAGTAAGTGTCTGTAAAAAAAAAGTTCAATATTTAAAAAAATAAAGATCGCGATACTGAAATAAGACGTTGAACTTTGGACTTAGTATTTGCTACCGATTCATTTCCGACGGTTTTCATGTTTGTACTATCCTTCTAGGCTGCTAACTTCACAAATTTCGAAGCGTCAGAATGAAAAAATTATGTTAAGATAAAGTTCAACATCTTAAAATAAAGATCACGATATTGAAAAAGGCGTGGAATGATCTTAAGAAGTGCTTCTAATGTATTTCCGACGATTTCATGTTTGTACTATTCTTAGCTTTCTTTAGGCTGTTAGGCTGCCAACTTCAGGTTGCTAGGCTGCCAACTTCAGGCTGTTAGGCTGCTAGGCTGCCAACTTCATGAACATAAACTATAGCCCTTTGGTCAAAATTGGCATCGCCCAAGGGGGTAATTGATTTTCCTTAAATGTATGAAATGTCATCTTTTCTGTTTTGAGGTTGATTTTCGGCATGAAACATTGTAAAGAGGACCTCTACTAAGATTATTCACATTATAGCCCGAGAAACAATGATTTTCATTATGTACATTTAGTAAAAAAATAAAATATCTTCTCTCTGAAAGTGCAAGCTTAGATGTTTTGTGTTTAGCATCATCTAATAAAACTATAAGAAAATTGTTAAAAGTATAGCCCTGGGGTCAAAACTGGCCTCGCCCCAGGGAGTTATTGATTTTCCTTAAATGTATTTAGTAAACCCTAAAAAAAAATCTCTCAAAATTGACAAAGGCTAGAGGTCGATATTTGGCATGAAACATTGTGCAGCAGAGCTCTACCAAGATCGTTCAAATTATAGCCCTGGGGTCAAAATTGGCTGCCCCAGGGATCATTAATTTTTTTATGTACATACTGTAAAAGTGTCAAAAAAAGTTCAATATTTAAACGAGTGAACGGGGAAACTTTGTTGAAAAGTGTTACTGATAAAAATCTAAGCCAGGGCATTTAGCATTTAGGTTCAACAAACACGTTCTTGCTTTTATCATATAGGTTGACACAAGACTATAAAAGTTAAAGTAAAAGCAGGAACTAGGACTTCATTGAAACTAAAAAAAAGTAACAAAAAAGAACACAAAGGCCACTAGCGAAAAGACAGTAGGGAATAAGAAAGCTACAGTAATAGTAGAAAAGACTCCGGGTAAAATGGCAGGGTTTCAACCATCTACAGGGAAGCTTCATTTGATGGGACTTCTGAATGACAAGACATGGAAAGATGCGCTGGCAACACGAGAATACTTTAATTTGGCGTCTTGTTTTAAATCTTTAGAAACAACTTTACAGAATGAGTATGACCAAGGCAAAGAGATATTTCCACCCAAAGAAGATATATTCAATGCTCTTAACCTCACACCTTTGGATAAGGTAATACTATTATTTTAGATCTTGTTTAGTCCCACCTTCATTCCAGCATATATTGGTAGATGTTTACATGTTCTCAAATATCATACATCCTTACATCATTACAGTGACATTAGTAAGTTCAATAAACTTCACATACTGTTATACCAAATGTCTGACATTTTTCATTTAATTTAAAGATTAAGCAATGCTAAAGTGAACACTGTTATAAAGAATTATTCCAATTGATGATGAAAATAACATATTTACTTCAAACTCCAAAAAAGAAAAACCTATTCGTAGATTATGTATTTTCTATGGTTGAACCTAAGAATATAAATATAATTTGATGATTATATAAACTTTATGTATCATGTGATTTACATGTACATTTTTCAGGTCAAAGTGGTTATTCTTGGACAGGATCCTTATCATGGCTACGGTGAGGTTGGTGCATTTTTATGCAATGATCTTTTACACATAATTGCATTATACATTTATATGGCTGTGTAAGGTTGTGCACTTTCTAATACATGTAGGTAGATAAATCTAATCTGTTAAACAGATGGTCAATGATTGAACCTTTTTGAAGTTTTTCGTGCCTGAAATGATATACATAATGACACTTTCTTTAGTTTTTCTTTGCTGCAATAAAATGGCGGTGTGTCTCACTGCTTTTGACTTAAGTGCGGCTGGATGTACCCCTAGAAATTTGCCTTCTCATCAATATGACCCTGACTTTAAAACTTTTGATGCAGACATTTTTATGACAAGGAGTCAGTTGTATGTGTTAAAACTATTTTTATCGGTTCGGTTTGTTCTTCTGTTGCAAGAAGACCTTATAGAGAAGTTATTATATACTGGGACAAATTCTTCAACAATATCTGTATATTCATGTTTCAGGCCATGGGCTTATCATTTTCCGTGCAAATAGGCACAGCTATCCCGCCATCTTTGAGGAACATGTATAACGAGTTGGAGAGAGACCCGAAAATTCCTGGATTTAAGAAACCTAACCATGGCTGCCTTGTGGATTGGGCAAAGGAGGGAGTGTTGTTGTTGAATACTGTACTTACTGTGGAGTGAGATTAATTTCTTACCTTTAAACAAAGTATATAAAATATCCCTGTCTCAAATGTTTCTGTAGGTTGGTGTTTCAACTTGCTTGCTTCTTTCTAAGATAATGCACGGAGGAGTAACTTACGGTAATCGTGATTTTTTATTTAGCCACGATGCACGATGGTACGATGGTGAAAACGCGATGACACGATGGTACTATGGTGAAAACATGATTGTACGATGATGAAAACGCGATGGTACGATGGTGAAATCGCGATGGCGCGATAGCACGATTGTGAAAACTTGATGTTTCACCATCGTACCATCGTTATTTCACCATCGTACCATCGCGTTTTCAACATTGTAACCATCGGGCCATCGTATTTTCATCATCGTACAATCGCGTTTGCCATCGCGCTTTCACTATCGTACTATCGCACTTTCACCATTGTACCATCACGTTTTCACCATCGGGTTTTCATTATCGTGCCATCGCGTTTTCAACATCGTACCATCGCGTTTTCACCATCGTGCCATAGTGTTTTCACCATTCTATCTGTCTCGGGAATTGCGCTCATATGCATGTGCCGTTAAATGACGCCAACGTATGCGTGACGTTAGAGTACTCA